CGATTTCATGGAACCTTACAACAAGCAAATGCGGGCCACAATAACCTATGTTAGGCTCCCAACCTACCATTGGTAGAATAAAAAATATTGCTTGACATAAAACAGCTTCCACGAGACCGGTGCACTGGTGGCGTTAATGTCACATTTAGGCTGTGAGGAAAACTTGTCTGGGCTAACGTTTGACAACAATAAAACACTCAAATTTAAAATAATTTCCCCGGAACATCTCTAATTTCCTCTCCTTCGCGGGAATGGTTTTCAAGCCGCAGACATCACGTTACTGCACGGTATCCTCCGTGGCAACGCCAACGTGCGAAATACTCACATCCACTAATTTGTCATCTGCCACCTACGTTAGCCAAGCATCCGTCTTATCAACGAAGTCTGGGAGCTCAATGAAATTCTTGAAATTCTTAATCATAGCCAGTTTTGAGTTCAAAACCCATTGGTTTCCGCACATGAAGCTCAAGTCTATTTTGCACGCTCGATTTTGGCAAGGCCAAAAAAGAGATCAAGCGTTACTTCAGTATAGTTAAAGACGAGTGTGGACTTCAAGGTGTTTCACACGAAATGCTAGTTTCAAAAGTGTAAGTCAGGCCAAGCAAGCACTTTTTAACAAGTATTGCTGAAAACTGCAAACATTAAGACTAGCATCTTTCACGCAATCGTTCTGGTCTTGGAACTAGGGATCCCTGCTTTCGTCCCCGCCATTAGCGGCAATATACGCCACTTGCAAAAGAGTATCAGTAAAATGCGAAATGCTCAAATGTATGTAATGTGAAGGACTTTGCTGGTAAATTTATTGCATACAAATCAAACCATTTTGAAATGAATATTTCAGTTGTATACTACATTTTTAGCGTACACCTATAGCCATCATCTTTCACAGACTGTACACTATATTTGGTACTATTTGCATCAAATGTGTTTGCTATCATATTCGCTGCTTTTTTTATTCCATCCACCATTTTATATGATATTCTCCATTTCATGCTGGCCATTTCATACGGCATGGATACGAAAGCAGAACGGTTGCAACAGTAATTCTATATTTTAGAAATTCAGAAAATTATGTTTGGTTGATTGGTGGCTCCGGAATCCAATTGGCTTTTGTGCGGGAGCGCAAAGGCACTGACTTTCATTGACTTAGGGGAGGGCCGTAGTGTTGCTACCGTGATCTGCTATTGTCCGCATACCAGAGAAAACAAGCAGGAAAAACACCTAAACGATTTCGAAATTCCAACAGGGACTTTGTACTATCCCAGAACGTCATGATCATATTAATAAACTATCGTCACAAGACATAGGGTTGCAGCGTCAACTCTCGGACTCCGCCGCAGCAGATTTTGAAAATTGGGCTGCCATAAATAAATAGCTTGAGCTTCGCTGGATCTAGGCCTGTGTTTCGGTACTGTCAGAAGTCCAGGTCCATATCCAGGTTGGCAGGTCCGGTCATGTAATGCGCACTTTTCAATGGTTATCTATTTAAAGTTTTCAAGTAATGTCCTTAAACGGTAGCGTTTTACATTTCTTTCATTTCACCTGTCAGTGATGACCCGAAAAAATTTAAAATGTCTTTGTTGGCGCAGGTCAACGCTAGTCATGCAAAATACATAGCCTACGTTACAAACAAGGCTGTTTGAGAGCTATGATTACCAGCATCACTCAGGCGACGACGTCCTTAGATTTACATTTATCTGGCGTGGCATGCTTGTGCCTTATTTCACCGTAGAAGTAAAAAAACTTTTGGAACAAACGTCGAAGAAGCCATCGCCTCTTATTGCAAAGGTGAAATGGGTCAACGATGATAATGATGATGATGAAAAGATGGACAGAGTCAATCAAACATTAAGGAAAGTGCACTGCGACATAGGGATGGCCACGACTCCACAAGACAGCAATGCTCAATCTCTGCGGAAAAACTAACGGAAGGCGTGGGAGTGGCGTTGGGCAGCCGAAATGGCACGCACGAGCTATGGCGTGCACAGTATGATGATATTCCTATTGGGAGGATCTACACATAATGTGTTCATTTTGCTGTCTTTAGGGAGTTGTAATGATTGTGTGAAATACGTTTAGCGTTCTGTGTGAGCTTTTGAGGTTTTAACGTTTCACCAGAACGCTCGTACACGCACTTCACAAGTTCTAGCTTTCTAGTGGTTCGTAAGATCCGACAATGCATCCCAGTAGCGAAAAAGACGACCTGAAAAAGTCGCCCCGAGTCTTAAAGGCGAGCCGAATGGCTGTAATGATGCTCCTGAAGCCTGGAAATATTCCCAGGGGTTAAATGTACGGCCAAACTCCGCAGAAATTCCCTAAAACCTAAAAATTGTCCACTGGGATTGGCCACCCCCCCCCCCCAAACAAGATGGTCTCAATTCTGGAAAAACGTTTCGTTATAATACAGTTGCATCCCTGAGGCCTGGAAACGTTGCGAGGGAGGCCAGCGACATCCTTAAGAATACAAGGACTACCCATAGGTCCCATGAGGGCTTTGGATGACCCCCTGTGTTATGAAAGACGCCCAAGGTGTCTGCAAAATATACCCGAGGCACTTTCAACACATTCAAGGTTCCAGACACACAAGGCACAATATACACAGACAGAATAAGGAAACCAGTAGTACCCCGCACACGTTCCACTGGCCCTGCCCCGCTCCGCCTTCTGTCTCCTCCCCTCGGCATGGCGAAAGCAGTACAGGAGACAGGACCGGAGACATTCGGACGGGGCAGTAGCAGGGGCTGCAAGGGGCTTCAATGCAAAATGATTAACTTTCAATAGCGTTTTAAGGGATTTTCACCCTGACAAATTTTGCGCCCGGCTTAAGACACTCGGAGACACTAATGTCACTGTACCACGTCTTATGACGTCAGTGTAAAACAAATGACCTTCGAGATAAGAGTGGGCTATCAAAGGCTTATACAAGACGCCATTCTATACATAAGGAAAAAACATGACTTATTTTTGTCATGATGCTGCACACAACTGGGTGAAAAGCGTAAAATATGGCAACTAACGTCATAATAGTGTCTCCCATGACCCTTAGCTCTTGTTAACAATGCGTTCATCCTTAAGCCACATGTGCGTGCGCGCGTTAGATGTGCGCACCATTGCGCGCCATTGGCTTTGCCGGGAAGTGGGAGCCTTTGGCGAGGGGCATTGGATTGGAAAGTAGAAGATCTTGTCCACCCGCACTTGTCTGTCTATTGACGATAACGGTCAGGTTTTATTAGCCGCGCCTCGTACTCGTGGAAGGCCAAGACTCATGAGTCCACGATGCCACATACATCACGTCAAAAAGTTAAATGTGGGTATAATGGGTGTCTCTTCAAGGGTATATGAAAAACCACGAGAGGCACACTGTCAACAAACATGACTCCAGCCGTGTTATACCGAAATTTTTTTGATTTGGTGCGGGAGGAAGATGACAGGCATGGACGTTACAGAATGGTGGGTAACGGGTGATGGTGGGTAATGGTGGGAAGGGTGGGTTGTTTGTCTTGGGGGTCATAAGGTTATATCGTTGGCATAAAGGAAATCCGTTTTTCTTTTACTAGCAGTATTTACAGCACGCCCCAGCTTTGTGTGCACCGTGGGTTGTGCATAAAACTTGCGGTAGGTAGCGAAGCAGTATAATAACGAGTAAATCTATTGCTTTTGGTATTTTCAGCGTCCAGCTCCCGTAAACAGCACGAATTCATCCTAGGTAACACGAGAGATGTGTCCCCACGCCTGCTTCACTCACGGCGAAGGAATCTCTCTGTTGCGCGCGCCGAAAGACAAAACATTTGTACTGGAGTAAATTTATAGGAATGCAGGTTTAAGGTACTGTGTATAGAAAATAATTGAACCCTAAAAATGTTTAGAGCTTACTTGAGAGGCTGTTTTCTTGAATGGGCTGGAAAGACAGGCTGTGGGACCGGAAACGGCAGTTGGGAGACAGTCCAGTATACTTTCCGACCTCTGGCAATTTGTTCCTGTGTATTATACACGTCAAATTCCCCCATTCTGGTGGTTCGGTAGAAGAGATTCCGTCCCATCATCACAGTATCACGTGCCCCATGGACTAAAAGTACCATCCTAAGACGGTAGCTCACATGGCCGGATACTTGTTCTTGAGGCATGTTAAGTTCTATGATGCATAATATTGTTTGCACAGCTTAATTAGCCACGCCAGCCACTGGGACAAAGACCGACTTCTGGCTTCGAACCCGAAATCAAAGCCAAGATAACGACATGAAGCCGAAGTTGAAGCCGAAGTCGATGCTCTTAAGTATCGATCTGCGAAGCCGAAGCTGGCGTTTTTGGCTTCTTAAATAAACAAACTGTTGTTTCGTCTTGCGTGTTAATATGCAATATGTACATACGATTCTGGCAGTTAACAGACGTCCGTTGGCCGTTGGCCGGTTGAATAACCTTCGCTCAGATGGGGGTCATTTTGACTGGGCCTGAGATCTCGAAAACTAAGATAACTTTCCCTGGTCCACTCCTGTAGTCATGACCAGAAATAATACTAAAAAGATAGTCTATGTGCGATTGTCCACTTCTTCCCACCCTTTTGTGATATTCTTCCTAAAAATATTGGTACCACGGGCCTAAGCAACCATATCAGGGGAGGGCCAACTCAACATCGACCCTGACAAAAATCTGCCTCCGTGGGCTAGATTCAGTTGTTCATTTGGCAAAACACTCTGGGATGCGCTACTTGTTTTTTGTATTTAAGAACATTTCTGATTCGATGGCAGCTTGCGCATTTCAAATAGTTCTGGGAATTCTGTAATTTATCAGTTCAATTTCTGTAATGGTAATTGCTTGTAGGGAGAATTATATGCCAAAATAATTCATGACTGAAAGATCAATTTAGGAGTTCTGGATTGTGTACATGAGCCAATTGATGGCGCGACGACAAATCAGAACACACACATAAGCCTCGTCATTGCGGGGCTCGGTTCTGTCCCGTTTTGGCTTACCCGTTGTTTTTCCAGAATCCTTTCCGCCCAGTCGAGCGTCTCGGAGACGTGTCCATTCAAATCAATTGGACAATTTCAAGTTTTCTCAATTTGTCTGTGTCCAATAATTGGGGCAGAGGTCATCTGCAGGGGGAACAATGGCTGTGTCCGTTAGTGATCTTTCTATCCTGCTCCAAAATATATCGATCTCTTCCGAACCAAAGTCTGGCCTGGACGAACTGAAGAACGTTTTATCTACGCTCCGTATTGATCATATTCAAAATGCTGGCGATGAGCTCGATCTAAAATTCTATTTGACTGCTTGAACAGCTCCAGCAAGTAAGTTAGCTGCTCATTGGATTGTTTTCTTGATAATTGACTAACATACCATGTTTGATACTTGTTCTGGGGATGATTATGCATTCATATGCTGCTGCTTCCATTTCAAAAATTAAGCAAGCATTATTGTGGCAATGCTCTCTTGACTTTAAATTTAGGCTGCTCATGGTTAGTGTATAGAGCAATGTTCTTAAACTTCAATTAGGAGCCTGACTCATGTGCAGATAACAGTAGGGAGAAGCATAGCTAGGGGTAATTAAAATGGACATTTTGTTTAGAAAGGTAAAATGTAATACAAAATTCAAGCAAAAGTTATAAGCTGATGCCATTTTTGAGCCCAGCATATGACACAATTTCATGATTTTTGGAATCTTAAAATTAATGCATACTGCAAGCATTCTGGATAACACCTTCAGAGGTGTAATGGTTTTTCTTGCTCCAGTTTCAAAGGTTAGCAAGTGAAGTAAATGATGTTAGAAAAGAACAGTTTGGTGTTGTCTTTCATCTCATCCATTGTAATTGTTCTGCTACCATGTACTTTATTTTCATAGGGAGCAGGTGGAGACATGTTCTGATGTGCTTGGCAAGCTGTTAGTTGCAAGTCCAGCCTCTGTAAACATCATGAGGTACCCAACTGAGCTTGACCGAGCTCTGTCCCACCCCATGGAGGCTGTCAAACTGCTGGTGCTCAAACAGGTGAGCTGCTGGATCTCCTCATCTGCTGTTTGCCACATGACTTTAGGCCCCAGGCAACTCTTGATTTGAGTTAGCTTATGCATCTTTTGAACTAAAAATATTATGCAGCTCCTGCAATTTTCCTTGCCAGTATGGCAGCTTTTTGAAATAGCATCCCTGGGAGATTCTTGCATATCTTTGAGTCCTTAGTCCAAATATAAAAAAACAGTCTGATGCATCTCAGCATCCCATGTGGTTTGACAGGATTGATCAGAATGGGTACATAATCTTTGTCTTTTTGCAGGTGTCACGATGTGTTGCTGATGACAGTGCATTGAGGAACTTGAAACTCCATTCTGGATTACTGAAGAATGTTATCAGCTGCATTGGTATGATTTGTTCACCTCCAATGGTGTTTTGAGATAAGCTTTTTAAGTTTTTTCTGATCTTGAACTTTAGTATTCCACACATTGTGTTAGCTTTATCTGTCTGCCACCTGTTTGTGAAATACGGATTGACAATGATGCTGTCAGACTGAAATTTCCCCTTATCATTGTGCTCTATACCAACGGCCAATCATCACCAGAGCTGCGCAGCACCTCCAACCTCTGGTGGGTGTTGGCTGCCCTATCTGTGCTGACCTGGCTGACTATCTGCAGGGTGCCGCGAGGCGTCAGTGGGCTCGGCGGCCATACGTGTGGTGACGGCGCTGGCCTGTAGCAGCCAACAGGCCGTCCTACTGGTGTTCAGCCCGCCACTGCTCGACCAGCTGCGCCAAACCATGGCCTCCAGCGACGTCGTCCGCTACCGGGGATACGAGGTGAGCTTGGATGAGCGCCCACCCTCCACCTGTTTGCTTTTTGTGTTTGAAAATGGGCGTGAAATACCTGGAGATAGTTGTCACAACAGTTGTCAAAGATCAAACCAATGTCAGCCATGCATTGCAAATTATTTCCTCTGCTTGTATTTGAACATGCTGCAATTTCTTCCACTTTTTTATCTGCAATTTGGGTTCAGGTATAATCATTGATCCAAATAATTGCAACCATGCTGAATTTGCCAGCACTACATGGTGTCAGTAAAAGTCCCTGAAAGATGGCATGTTAATGCGTGTGCATGGCATTACCCTGTCCAGTTTCTCACTTGTTATCCTGGACCTGACCGCCTACACGCCGCATTAGATGGCCGTCCATCTGCCGCGCTGCCGTTCTGTAAGCACCAGTACCCCTTCCGGCCGGCAGGTGGCGGTCAGCGTTTCGTGCGTGTCGCGGGAGAACATGAAGCTTCTGACGGACGTGGGCCTGCTGCCCGAGCTGGTGCAGGAGGTGTTTGGCCGCGACGTTCTGGTGCAGCTGAACGCCCTCGAGCTGCTCACCACGCTGGCGCGGGCCGGTGAGTGACGCAGGCTGGCCCGGGACGCGGCCGGGAGCGTTGGATGCGCGGCGCACGGCGCGGCCACGGTGTTGCAAAAGTGTATGGCGGCGGCTTTGGTTATGATTCAGCGATGATTGCTGCTCTGGGGCCCGTTCTTATTCATTTAATGCTTTGACAGCTAGTGCAATCAACGAAGACGCGGGGGCTAGTAGTTTCCGTTTTTCCCGGCATTTGCGTTTCCAAATGTTCCGTTTGAATCGATGCTATTAGCGAAGATCTCGTTAGTGTAGAAGCCATCCTCAGCACTGCGTGTCTGCAATTAATGGACATCGTTAAGTCGAAATTATTATATATTATATAAATATTAAGCCAAATTAAGTGAGGGGAAATCGATTTCGGAGTGTCCGCCCAGAACGCTCGCAACCTGCAGCTATCTGCCTGTGTCGAAACGCGTTCGGCGACTCGCTCAGCCGACTTCGCCAACCGGGCGTCCCTGGTGTCGATCTGTGCGTACCCCTGCGCTGAGCTGGTCCGAAGCGGCTCACCGCCGTCCCGGCGCGCCCCAGACCACGGCTTCGAGCACCTGGAGGCGGAGGGCGTTACCCAGCGGCTGGAGAAGCTGCTGACCGTGCCCGAGGACGCGTCGATGCACGACTACATCCTGCCGGGTAGGTGGTGCTGCCGGACCGGGCGGCGCCGGCGGCGCCAGGAACGGCAGGTGCCCCGACCGCGGTCCCCTGGCGATCAATGTGCTGAATGTTTAACTGGATTGGGCCGCGCGATTGGCGTTGCATGACCCGCTGTTCTTGGAATGCGCTCACCCGGTGTTGTGGTTTGGTAGCCAAATTTGTAGAACTGGTATGAACAGGTTAGATTATTTTTGGCGGTCTGTCGGCCCGAGTTCGCCACTCCTGTGACTCTCACGGCGTTAGGTCACGTTGCTTTGGTGGACCGTCCGCACCCAACTCTCGTACATTCATCGTGAGTGGCGCACCCTCGCCGCTCTCCGCACCCGTCTCCGTCCGCTAGCCCCGGCACTGACGTGTGGGCCCACTTCGACAGGTGTGATGAAGTTCTTCGGCCAGGTGGGGCACGACCGGCCTGAACACGTGCTGTCACGGTACCCGTCGTTCGCTGCCAACCTGCTCTCGATGGCGGCCGAGCCGGACCACACTCGTCGCCTGTCCGCGCTCGACACGCTGGCCTGTCTCGGAATGACGGCCGCCGGCAAACTGGCGCTCGGCAGACAAGGTAACAGCAGACACGCTGGCCTGTCTCGGTATGACGGCCGCCGGCAAACTGGCGCTCGGCAGACAAGGTAACAGCAGACACGCTGGCCTGTCTCGGTATGACGGCCGCCGGCAAACTGGCGCTCGGCAGACAAGGTAACAGCAGACACGCTGGCCTGTCTCGGTATGACGGCCGCCGGCAAACTGGCGCTCGGCAGACAAGGTAACAGCAGACACGCTGGCCTGTCTCGGTATGACGGCCGCCGGCAAACTGGCGCTCGGCAGACAAGGTAACGGCAGACACGCTGGTTTGACTGGTCTGTCTCAGTCTGTCCTTTTGAGCCACTTTCACGGTTCGCCTCGGTTTCTGCCTCGGCTTTGAGTTTTTGAACGAGTGCCCTCAGCTGAGGCATCGTGCCATTTTTAACAACTGGTTCCTGCTTTGGCTTTAAATAAGTTGCGAATTATGGTTTCGGTTTTGGCTCGACGCGAACTAGAAGTGCTTCGGCTTTGTCATGTTGATTTTTACGCCGCAGCCACGGCTTTACTTTGCAAAAAGAGTCTCGTCTATCCCGTTACCACAATATGCCAAACGACTTGGAGGCCGCTACGCATACACGTCTGGGAGCCCAAATCAGCTAGTCATGCCTTGGGCAAATTTTTACCTGGCGATGGCGGGGAAACTAGCTGTCCGAAACGTTATGTACGTGCTAATACAGAGGGCGAGGATGATAGTCGGAAAATCTCCTCCCGTAATACCGACACCCTGCCTCAACCATTCCGCAAAGCCCTTGTGATGTTTCTCGATCCCTTACAAGTTTTGGCAGGCATCACGAACGTTTTAGTCGCGGAAAACAACGCAGTACGCTCTACACTGATATGCTCTACACAGATTCGGCTTCAGATTCAGTCTGGCAATTTTGTTCTGATCGTGATTTGCCTTTGTTTTGCGTTTCTGAACCACGAAGCCACGGACTTCAGATGCGGCTGCCGTTTCGCGTGTACAATGTTCGAAGCCACCGGCTTTGGATTCGGCTGTTTAATTAAATGTAAAACCACTGGCTTCGGCTTCCACTTTGCAGTTTTAAACATTGAAGCCACGGGCTTCGGCTTCGGCATCATGTCATTGTCTTGTCTTCGGATTCGGCTTCGAAACCAGAAGTCCAGGTTCGTCCCCATGCCCCCAGCCCCCTGTCATCCCTGTCTATCGCCATTAGGTTCGCCTTTAGGTTCGTCTTTGCTAAGTGCCAAATGCGTGGCGCGGAAGACAAAACAATTTCACCAACCTTGGCCCGAATCCCCTGCGTGTCGTTTGCTTTTCATCAGTTCACCTGATTGATGCTCGGGGGCGTGGGGGCGGTGCTTGTTGGATTTGATTATGATGTGTTAAAATATTTTATGTATTGTGCACGAGGGCTAAATAAGTGTTGTGCACGCTTCTGTCTGTGTGGCATTTCAAACAAGACATGAGCAAGTGGGAGCCATTTATGCAGCAAGTTCAAAATCAATTTCCCTAACCTACCCATAGCTGTTGAATACCTTTCAGAGGTCAGAGAAGGTTGTGACAAACAACAAGTTTTGATCTCTTCAGGCACTAAGATGCCCCGATGCAGGATTAAAAGTGATTATATTGGATTTATGTGTAATAAGCAATCCATAGGCATGTATGGCATGACTAGCTTACTGCGTGCCATGTTGACCTCTTATGACCTCATTTTGGCATTCTACATACATCTGACTATGTACTGACCAGAACAACTTTGTAGCTGGCGTTTAAGCTACATAGCGTGAGCAAAATGGATGTGGAAATATTTTGAGTCATTGGTTGCATAAATACACCAAATTATCACGCTAACCTATGCAATGGCATTGACCTGACCCCATAGTGGCATCTACAACTTCGTAACAGCATCCTCAATTAGCCAAAGGGCATGTACTTGTCGAAGAAGTGAAATGCCTCAATTAGCCTGCCCTGGCCTTGACCCTTTATGTCTGTATGATCTCTAATTGTTACTTCTTTAATATGCGCTCATTAACTTTTCCGTTTGCGTATATATTTAAACTTCGGCAATAAGTTCCCGGAAATGCTTTGTGAGAGTGTTGTCTCCCGGCTTTCCAGCCCGAGGCGCTCGGTTGGGGCGCCAGCCAATTAATTATTAATTAACTTTGCAGCTGATATGGCCTGTTCGGAAAAGAAATAGTCCTGTTATGATCCAACCAAAGATATTTAACGGCTTCCAGTCTTAGAACTGTTTCAAAAAGCCAAGGGAACTGCGGTTGGCATGTGTCCGCCGTTGACCATTACGTGCCGATTACACTTGTGACGTCATCAGTCGAAGCAGCGGAATTTGGCCGGACGGTTATACCTTCTGCTCTAGGGCCTTGCCGATACGTGATTGGTTTGCACGGCAGTCCATCGCACCAGGAACAAAAAGCAGCCAAACATTATTAAAAAAGCAAGGTACGCCTCCCCCCAGATGCCCTTTACTTTTGCGTAACATATCACCTTTGTCGGAGTGGCAGAGGAAAAGACGAAGTTTTGTTGGAGGCTGGTTGAAAGTATTTAAATATGAATGTGGATGTTATTAAGTCGCTTCCATTTCAAACGATTTGAATTTCTTATTAGTTGAGGCACCTGCGTTTCATTTCATTCATCGCACCATTTGTTTCGGCTCGTTTGAATGAGCAATCCCATACTTATATGTTTAATTACCGTGTCCCTAATTTCTTTTCCTCATGAAACTTGCGTCACGAAATTTTCGCCGACTGCTACGATGGCTGAAAATGTATCGCACATTTGGCATCCATGATGAGTTTTTAGACCAGTGCTGCGACCTGCAAGCGGTCCGATCTCCAGGAGTGAGTGAGATCAGGCGGACCTAACGCTGTACACCTTCACATGAGGCTGGTGGCCTATGAATAATGGCCGCAGGATCCCGCCGGCCCCGCAGGGGCACCGGCTTCGGTCGGTGTAGGGGACTAGCGCCCCTTCGGGTCCCAGCCCCCGTAACGGGTGGACAGCGCAAGCTGTTCCTCTCAGCGACCCTGCCGATACGTGAGCTCCTGCTCCTTGTTCCGCCCGCTCCCGCCACGTTACCCGCACTCCCGCATCCGCCTCTATCACTACTCCTTATCCTCGTTTTATCGGGGTAGCCGTGCCCCTTCGCCCACGCCCCCGGCTTCATCGGATCCTGATGGCTGAGGGGCGCGTCGTGCGGGTCAATCAACGATATTTTTAGTAACTCGCAGTGCGGGTTTAGGAAAAACCGTGTTACGGTGGACCACCTTTTAGCTTTGGACACTACGGTTCGTAAGGCTTTTCAAGAGACAGCGCATATGGGGACAGTGTTCTTTGACAATGAAGCCGCCTATGACACCACACCGCGCCAAGGTATTCTTCAAGGGGTTTTAAAATATGGTACACGTGGTCATATGGGTACTTTTCTCCAAAGGTTTTTAGCCAAACGATATTTCCGTATTTGGGTCGGCAACGTGCTCTCCGATAGGTACCAACAAATAAACGGCGTGCCCCAGGGCGGCGTGTTAAGTGCAGCGCCGTTCGCAGTTATGATGAATGATATTTGTGATTTGCTCCCCCAGTCAGTTGGATGTGCCGTTTTTGTTGACGATTTTACTACTTGGACCAGTGCAGCGAGGGCACCAGCGATGGAGCGACGTCTCCAGCTGGCTGTGGACCGCGTTGAAAGAGGGGGTGACATGAACGGGTTTCGTTTTTCAGACGACAAGACCGTTGCGATGCATTTTTGTCATCGCCAGCGATGTGATGACCTGAGCATCCGTCTATATGGTCGCTCTATTCCAAATAAGGCCTTGGCCAGGTACCTTGGGATGCACTTTGACCGCCGCCTTACATATCATGCACATCTTAAAATGTTACGCGATCGCTGCTTTAAATCTCTCAACATACTTAAGCGTGTGTCTCGCACATCATATGGGGCAGACAGAAGCACGCTTACGCTTTTATATCGTTCACTCATCCGCTCCAAACTGGATTATGCATGCTTTGTGTATGATGACGCGTCTGAATCCAGCAAGCGTGTTCTTGATACCGTCCGCCATACTGCCATTCGCATTGTTACTGGGGCGTTCCGCACACCACCTTCCGTCAGGCTTTTAACGGAGGCACACGAGCCACCACTTTCGACGAGAAGGAAAATGCTCGGCATACGTTATGCCTTGAAGCTGCGGCAGTTCCCACTTCATCCGACATATTCTGCAGTATTTTCTCGGTTTGCCGTAAGTTCCCTTCGTCATGGGCCGCAGCAGCACGCTTTAACTTTCGGTTTCCGAATGAGAGCCTTATTGCTCAAGGGCGGAATTCCTCTTCGGGGTGTAAAGCAAGTAAACCACCCGGCTTCTCCTCCTTGGCAAGTGACCATACCCTTCATTGATACCTCGCCTACGGAAATTAGGAAAAAAGACGGCACACCACACCTAATGTGGTCCAGGGCACTTAAGCTTCCGTGGTGTTATGAAGGATACATCCTGACGTACACAGACGGATCCAAAACCTCGGATGGCGTGGGTTGTGCTTTCATCAGCGGTTCCGTCACTCGTTCGTTCTCGTTACCGGCCCACTCGTCAGTTTTCATAGCGGGATTAATTGCGAGTTCCAAGGCGATATGTCTCATGGAAGTTGGTGAAGAATATTCACACGCCATTTTTACAGATTCGCTGAGCAGGCTCTCTGCACTGAAGTCTTTTTATCCATCATGTCCCCTTATACAGGACATTTTATCACGCCTGACACAGTTGAATCGGGTTGGAAAGAGAGTTGCCCTGTGCTGGATCCCCAGTCACGTCGGTATCGTGGGCAACGAGTTGGGTGATGCTGCTGCCAAGCGAGCAGCGGTGGCACCATATACCCGGTTTTTGCCTATCCCTGCCAGGGATTTCTACCCGGTAGTCAAGACCTTCCTGAGAAGCAAACTGCAACGTTGTTGGGACCAGGTGGGCGGCAATAAGCTCATGGAGATAAAAACCTAGTTGGGCTTGTGGTCGTCATGCTCTCGCAGTGTGCGGTGGGAAGAAGTGACTTCATGCAGGTTGCGTATTGGGCATACGTATGCCACCCATGGCCATCTGTTGCATGGAGCCGACAGACCCCTATGCCAGCGGTGTGGTGCCGTTCTCACTCTCCACCACGTCATTGTATCATATCCGTGCCTCATCGAAGAACGACGACGTCACTTTGGTCCGCAGGCTTCGCCCCTGACGATTAGAGATGTGTTCGGGGACAATTCCCCCTTTCTTGATCCAAACAACTCTTTTCTTTCTTAAAAGATACTGATTTCCAAGTCATTTTCACACCATACTAATTACGTAAAAGCGTCGTTATTGGCGTAAAATGACCATTGAAGTCGATGTGTCCGAAAACACCAATGAACAACAACAGAAGGGCCCCGTCGGGAGACTAACTAGCTTGACACCCGGCACTGACCGAATGAGCTCCCGTCAGCGGCCGGTGACTTGTCCCTCATTTAGCCGACCGGGTGGCTTCCACAGTCGCGGCAGGGTCAGCCAGGGCCGCGGTCCCCGTACGTGCGACGTCTCAGGTGGCAACTCAGGTACTTTGCCGATGCGGACCGCGGTCCAGGCGGTGCGCTGGGGGCGATTGGGCCGAAAGGCGCTCGGACCGCGATTGGTCGGTCCACTGCGACGTCATACGCCTGCGGCGGTCAGTACAGCTGAGGCGATAATGCTGGACAGCCTTGGCGATTGGCCCGAGACATCGCCTTTGTTGCGCCTCAGCTCTGTCCAGGTCACTCGTCACTAGTGCAAGTGAAATGCTGTAATGCAGCCAGCTCTTCAGAGACTATGCATGACGGGCTCCTACCTTGTTGATGTCGCCTAATTGGAGCGGTGCGTGAGCTGCGCTCGGAGTTGCGATCCGGTACATTCATTTTTTTTTCTCTTCGAAGCGCTGTGACGTTAAATGTGAGCCGTTTTTGCAAATATATCGTCTTGTAGTCGTGACCAATATAAACATGACAGCGGTCACTCCGTAAATTAACCTGGATTATCGGTTATGTCTGCTGGTGGTGGATACCGACCGCCGTAATTTTTACCTAGGTCACCACCTAACGTGCATCCTTTGGGTACTGCATTACTCAGCTGACTCTTAGTAATGGTCTCTCGCTGAACTTCCTGCGTCCAGGGACATTACCTTCTTCACGGTACTAACTTGAGACCTGCTGCGTTATGTTGCATGACGGCTGCGGCCTGTTTCTGGAATGTCAATATCAAGTGAACAACGGCATGAAACTTAACGGCTTCGAGTGGTTTTCAAATGCGAGCTTTGTACTTTTCATAACCCGACCCCTCTTTGTTTACCGCAGTCGTGGAAAGTCGGACGTTAGCATGCGCTGCCAGCGACCGCTAAGTTGATTTGGGCCGCGGTGGCCCCGCTCCTCTCGGCGTGGCGCCCTCCTAAGGGGCGCCGCTGGCGGTCGGTAACAGCTGTCAGCGCCCGGCTGGGCGCGAGCAGCCTCAACTGCCTGTAGGCGACTGGTCATCGCTTTCCGCGTCATGTGGGCTTGGCGTGGAAGTGCTGGCATCAATGCGGGCGAATACAGACCCTATCGGAGCGGGGGAATACAGACCCTGCCGGAGCGGGGATTACGGACCCTGCCGGAGCGGAGGGGGATTAGAGACCCCACCGGAGCGGAGGGGGGAATACAGACCCTACCGGAGCGGGGGAATACGGACCCTGCCGGAGCGGGGGGGGGGGATTACAGACTCTGCCGGAGCGGGGGAATACGACCCTGCCGGAGCGGGGATTACAGACCCTGCCAGAGCGGGGGGGGGGGGAGAGGGGGAGATTACGGACTCTGCCGCATTGGGGGATACAGACCCTGCTGGAGCGGGGGGGGGGGGAATACAGACCCTGCCGGAGCGGAGGGAATAGACTGCCGGAGCGGGGAAAATACAGACTGCCGGAGCGGGGGAATACAGACCCTACCGGAGCGGGGGGATTACAGACCCTGCGTGAACGGGGGAATACAGACCCTGCCGGAGCGGGAGGAATGCAGACCGAACCGAAGCGAGCGAATACAGACCCTGCTGGAGCTAGGAATACAGACCGGACTGGAGCGGCGAAATATAGACCCCGCCACGTGAGCGCGACGGGGCAGAGCTGAGACACAGCTGCCTGGGCGTGGCTGGGTAATCGCCGTCGTACCGTCTGTGCGTGGCTGGGTAATCACCGTCGTACCGTCTGTGCGTGGCTAGGTAATCACCGTCGTACCGTTTGGGCGTAGCTGGGTAATCACCGTCCTACTGTCTGGGTATGGCTGGGTAATCACCGTCGCACCGTCTGGGTGTGGCGCCCGAGTCGGCCGGTGCCGTGCCCCGCCCCCCGCTCCCCCCGTCCCCCCCGCCCCCGCCCCCGTAGCCGCCGCCACGGTAGCCCCCGAGCCGCACGACTCTGAGCGTCTGAATAAGTCAGCGCGCCCCCTCGGTGCTGATGGCCGGCGGCCGGGATTCGCAGTGGCGGCCGGCCGGCGGCGTGGGACGATCATTTTGCCGGGCCGGCCCGACCAAAGGTCAGGTGGAGATCGGCCCGCCGCCCTCGCCGCGCCCAGCTGTGATATTCTTGGACGCGAAGAAAGGACGGTCGGCGCTCTGCTGCCGCTCCTCCTGCTCTCCTATGCGCACGATGGGCTGACGTTCGTGACGGGCGGTCCGGATGTCTCCTGGGCGCCGCGTCCGTTATCAGCCCTGCGTCGCCGCGTCCGTTATCAGCCCTGCGTCGCCGCGTCCGTTATCAGCCCTGCGTCGCCGCGTCCGTTATCAGCCCCGCGTCCGTTATCAGCGCCGCGTCCGTTATCAGCCCTGCGTCGGTTATCAGCGCCGCGTCCGTTATCAGCCCTGCGTCGCCGTGACGGTTATCAGCCCCGCGTCGGTTATGAGCCCCGCGTCGCTGCGTCGGTTATCAGCCCCGCGTCCGTTATCAGCCCCGCGTCAGTTATCAGCCTCGCGTCCGTTATGAGCCCCGCGTCGCCGCGTCGGTTATCAGCCCCGCGTCGCCGCGTCCGTTATCAGCGCCGCGTCGGTTATCAGCGCCGCGTCCGTTATCAGCCCCGCGGACGTTATCAGCGCCGCGTCCGTTATCAGCCCCGCGTCCGTTATCAGCCCCGCGTCGGATACTCGTTGCGCGACTGGTTTGCCATAATACGGTGATTGCATTGTCGCGATGCAGGGATGTGGCACGGTTCGCTGGTAGTTGCTGATGTCGTGCTGTCACTGCGAGGTGGCGGCCCATTTCAGGAGCGCCCTGATCAGATCAGGCGTTCGACCCCTGTCACCGGTAACGACCGCGTGCGTTTCGGCGGCGCAGTCGAGACCAGCCCTGGTGCGACCATTTGCGAGAGTAGGTCTGAAACACTTGCGTCTCGCGAGACCAGTTGGAGCTCATTGGCGTGCAAGTTCGTGGCTTGTTAGACGGCCCTCAGAAGGCGCCTGTCGGAGAATGCCCGCAGGGTCGTCAGTGCCCTGTCACATTCGCTTTTGACCTTTCCTGGCTGGCAGTGGGCGCGCCGGTAAGCGAGCATGCTCGGCGACCGATGTCTTCAAACGGGTTAGCTGGCCGCCGGGCCTGCTCGCCAGTTAGTCACCTGTTCACGATCCTGGGCCCCACTTACTGCTGACCTTTCCGCCCACCGAACTTCGCGCCTCATTCCCCGCTCGGCGAACTCGCGCCTCGCTCCGCGCGGCCGCCACCGGCCGGCGACTGGCGGCCGCCGTTCGGTCAGACCAATCGCCGCCTCTCGCGCCGTTTCTGCGAACGGCCTCTCAATTACGGCACCGATGGTCGGGCGACGGCGGGAATGACCCGGCCGACGCGCCACCACCGCGCCGATTATATGTTTTTGGCGGCGCCGGGGCGGCGCCGGCCGCTCAGCCGTCCTGAGATTAAGCGCCATCGCGCCACGCAACGCGGGCGCTGCTGGAGCTCAGCTATCGTCTGCCGTGTGATTAGCGAACGCGCTGTTTGGATGCGTGCTTGCGCGCGGACAACCTGCTATCTTGGAGCTATGGCTGTGATAAGCGTCGCTGTAATGCTGGAAAGTGAACTCAGTACTCCTGTTGTGTTAACGTAGAGCCATGGCTCTGCTATCGTCGTTTTAATACCGCTAAGTGAACGCGGTGCCGATCAATGCTGATCTGTCACGCATAACTGAGCACGGTGTCGTCTGGTGGCTGGCCGTCCTGTCACACGTGAGGCTGATCGCTTCCGCGTCGTCCCTTCGTCGCTTCCGGCAGGTACGGCCATGACGGAATGCGTGGCCGAGATCGGCCGGCTGGCCCAGAACGCGCCCAGCGAACTTCGCATCCGGGCCCTGGAGACCATCGAGCAGCTGCTCCAGCTGAAGGTCGGTGGGCGCCGGCGTCATGCGATGCGTATAGCTCAGCTCAGCATGTGTGTCAGGCATCATGGCGTGGTGTGAGCAGGCGCGCGGGAAGGCAGCCACCGCCTCCCGGCACGTCAGTCCCGACCCCTGCCGTGACGTGCGTGGTGGCCGTCTCACGCCCGTCACGCGCGACCACGGCTCTGCCGCGTCAGCCGGTCATCTGGCCTGCCGTCACCCGGACTGCAGCCTGTCGACGGTGGGCGGCGTTCGTCCCCGAACCGCTGTCGTGCGTCCACGCCCCCTCCCCTCCGCAGCAGACTCCCCCGGCGACTGGCCCCCGGGCACGGCGCCGGGCGTGGCCGGGCGGCCGGTGGCATTCGGGCGGCGCGCGGCACCGGTCGGCACGCGGCGGGCCCGCGGCACGCGAAGCGCGCCGCCGCCCCCGCGTCGCCGGGCGCCGACGGTGACCCCCACGCGAGGAAGGTCGCCGCCGGCGGCGGCGTGATGGCCGCCAGCTGTCGCCCGTGAAATAGGCCGGCGGGGACAACCTGACGGAGACGCTGTGCGTTCAGCGCGGAGCGTGCGCCAACACTGGCCTGCGTTTGGACGTGTCTCGCCGCCCGGACGGCCCGTGCGGCGCTCCCCCACCGTCCATCCATCCAGCAGCCGGTTTTCAATTGGCAGTGGGCGCGCGGCGGCGGAAGTCCAGAGCAGATTTAAAATAACATCAGCGGCCGCAGAACTAGCCGGCAGCTGCGGAGCCGGACCAATCACCTCGGGACCCAGACGAAGGCGGTATTGGGGCGGCCGCTGCGGTGGACTGGGCACGGAGGCACGTATATAGGCTCGGCATATTGGAGCTGCGGCGGAGCGCGCAGGCACAGCTCACATCCCTCGCCAGGCACGAGGTACGGACGAACCGCTGGCCGGGCGTGAGGCTCGGATGACGTGCGTGAGACACAAGTGGACCCTTGGCTGGACATGACACACGAATGGATCCCTGACTGAGTATGCCACACGGATGGATCCCTGGCTGGGCATGCCACACGGATGGATCCATGGCTGGGTATGCCACACGGATGAATCCCTGGCTAGGTATGCCACACGGATGGATCTCCGGCTGGGTATGACATACAGATGGATGTCTGACTGGGTATGACACACGGATGGATCCCTGGCTTGTGATGACACACGGATGGACCCTTAGCTGGGTATGCCACACGGATGGATCCCTGGCTGGGTATGCCACACGGATGGATCTCTGGCCGGGTATGACACCCAAGAGAACCTCTGGACGCGTCTAACACGGTGGACCCATGACAGGGCACGGGCCGTACTCCGGCGAAGCACAGAATGGCCCGTGGCCATCCTCCGGCGAAGCACCGAAGGGCCCGTGGCCGTCCATGAGTTGAGCTGTGGCGCACGTTCGTCGTGAACCTGCTAGCCCGCTATCCGACCTCAGACGCTGCTGAGGCTTTTGTGTGCTCGTCATATGGGCTCATTTTATAGGCTGCCAAAGGCTTCAGGTACCTTTACATTCATGTGTTTGTTCGAGCAAAGTTTCAAAGCCCGTAACTTCTCCGCCGAAAGTCATTTGAGGCGATGTCTTTCCTTTTCAATGCCTTTGGACTTGGCTTTTATTTCGCATGCTTCCATGGCCTTAAGGCTGCAGCCGGGCTTTTGATTGTTAAATTTCCGTCGGGGGGCGGGCCAAACTATTTTGAAAGGCCAAGGCGGCCGCCGGTCAGGCAGGATGATCACCCATGGGGCGCCGAAGGCATGCACGATGACCCTGGCGCCGTTCGGTGTTTTATTTCTTGGCTGCACTTGGGCTGATTGGGTGCTCGCCCAGCGGTGACGAGCTGCCGCCTCTTGTTCTCAAATTCCGCCCACGTGCAGACCTGCAAATGGGCCGGCGCAGCTACGCCCGAGTGCGCTCGAGTGACACCTGGCTCATACCGCCGCCGCGCGCATTATCGGATTGCTCGTTGTCATGGGCGGCGAGCCGGGCGCGGCGTAATGGTCGTGCCGCGTCCGCCGCCCGCTGGCGAAATGCGCCCGCCGACCGGGCCGAGTGCGGCGCGGCTGTGGACACCGCCTCGAGCGCGGTGTCGTCGTCCGACGACGGACTGGTGTCACGTGGGGATGGACGCCGTCGGCCGGTGGTGCAGGGCCGGCGCCGTGTCCGGCTCGAGACGGATGAGCGGGACAGCGGCCAGGTGGCGACAGGCGCCCGCACGCCCGGAACCCCCCCCCCCCCCCCCCCCTCCGCTGTGGACAGACACTGCACGAGCGGCCGCCGGCTGCCAGGCTAGAACACGCCGTCTGGGCTGTTGCGCGGGCAACGTCGGTCGAGTGGGTGCCCTGGTCTTACAGCGCCCTAGACATAGCTACCCACCATCGGGTGTACCACCCACCCTATGGACGTGGGTGATGCCCCAGACATAGACACATTTGGGATGTGGGGTCCAAAACGGCGTTAGCAGTTGGTGCGCCCTATAACCCCCATCATCAGCGCAATGGACGTGGGCGTTACACCGGGGATAGCTAATGGACGTGGGCGGTTACACCGGGTATAGACAATGGACGTAGGCGTTACACCGGGTATACAAAAGGGACGTTGGCGCTGCACCAGGTATTCACAATGGACGTGGGCGTTACACCGGATGTTCACAATGGACGTGAGCGGTTACGCCGGGTACAGACGATGGACGTGGGCGTTGCACCGAGTATGCGCAATGAACGTGGGCGTTACACCGGGTATACACAATGGACGTGGGCGTTACACCGGGTATAGGCAATGTACGTGGGCGTTACACCAGGTATTCTCAACGGACGTTGGCGTCACGCCGGGTATACACGGTGGACGTGGGCGTTGCACCGTATATACACAATGGACGTGGACGTTACACCGTATATACACGATGGACGTGGACGTTACACCGGATATACACAGCGGACGTGGGCGTTACACTGGATATACACAATGGACTCAGGTAGATCAGCAGGCATAAACGGTGAACGCAACCGGCGCATCACGGGTAGACAGAGACTAAACTTGTGTGGTACACTGAGTTAAGATGCTGCTTCGGGTGGTGCACCTGTTCTTTACAAGTGAACGGTAATACTGATTGGTGGTTTTCAGGCGCTTCTACTTCAAAGGTCGTTTTGCGCCCAGTCTTTACTCCTTGCACGGGCACGACCGCCCCGTGGTTGTCTTAAGGGAGGAAAACAGTCGGTAGTGTGTTTTGTGCGTTTGTCGTAGGCTTTTGGCATGATGCGGCGGTTCAGGAAAAAAGAATCTAGACGTGTTATGTAATACCGGTGCTCCATCATAACCTTCATGCAATGTTCACCATCACGCCATCTGATGGAAAATGTTAGATCTCACTCGAAATGTCCACGCACGTACTTTTGTAATAACCATTATCACGTTACTTGCCTGATGGAAATATGCCAACTATGAGACATGTCCTGAAACGCCATCAAAATACTTGAGTTCAGTTAGAGGCTGACGAAACCAAGCATATTATATTTTGCAAGTCTTGGCGCTTGCTAACAATTCTTGGAACAGTTCGCGAATCACTATTCACTTGTGTTTCCTTACGCCTTCGCTGCGGGCCGGCCAGCCGTTCGCCAACACGCCCGCTCGCGAACAGCTGGCTCGTGTTTTTTAATATTGATTTAAATTGGCGAACGCATTTATTGCATTTTGTATAGCCGTTTCATATTTGATGTTCGGCGACATAATAAATATTGTTCACCGTGTGTTTGCCTCAAAGGGTGCAGCCAACTGCGCTGACTCAAACGTACTATGCGTCGATCATGTGGGTATTGAGCGGTTTTAGGTCTGCAGTTCATTCGGAGTAAGTCTTCAAGAGAGCGCTGTGGAAGGATGTGACGGCAGCAGCCGCGTCCAGCGACGGTGATGCCTGGAGCTTGCGAGAGGCCTTTCTTGGACGGTCGCTGTTTCAGGGCCACAGTTCCCTCGGGTCCGGATGCCAGGCAGCAGCAAATGTGTGTGTGTGTGTGTGTGTGTGTGTGTGTGTGTGTGTGTGTGTGTGTGTGTGTGTGTGTGTGTGTGTGTGTGTGTGTGTGTGTGTGTGTGTGTGTGTGCGCGTGCGTGCGTGCGTGCGTGCGTGCGTGCGTGCGTGCGTGCGTGCGCGGGTGCGTGCGTACGTGCGTGCGTGCGTACGTGCGTGCGTGGATGTGTGCGTGTGCGCGTGTGCGTGTGCGTGTGCGTGTGCGCGTACGCGGGTGCGTGTGCGCGTGCGCGGGTGCGGGTGCGCGTGCGCGTGCACGTGCGCGTGCGCGTGTGTGTGTGATGTGCTCGTCTGGATCTTACGATTTCTCACCCCGTGCCAATAAGCAGACTGCGACAAATGACTAAGTTAGTTAGTCACACGCCGGCAAACTCGTTGAAGAAGTTTGAACAAGGCGCTCACAGGGTGTGAAGGCCTTTCATTGCTGTCTCTAAGTCCTGTTCCTGCCACGTAAAGTCAAGTTGCTCATTTCGTAAAATCGCTCGTCAATCGTTTTCTGTTCTTTTTTTGCAGTTGATTTGAATAGTTCCTTGTTTAGAAACAACTGTTTGAGCCTGTTGCTTCATCCAGTTAGACCTGTAGCGTTGCCTGCGTCTGTCGGCAGACCTTTTGCCTGTCATCTAATGTTGTGCCACGCTGGACATGCAGCCGGTGCAGCCGCAGGGATCTCCCCGCCACTTGCCACCTGGCACCGGCCGGGCCAGGCAGTCTCCTCAGGCACTCAACCCACCTGGCACCAGCCGGGTCAGAGCAGTCTCCGCAGGCACTCAAACCCATCTGGCACCGGCCGGGTCAGAGCAGTTTCCGCAAGCTCTCAAACCCACCTGGCACCAGCCGGGTCAGAGTATTCTCCGCAGGCACTCAAACCCACCTGGCATCGGCCGGGTCAGAGCAGTTTCCGCAAGCTTTCAAGCCCACCTGGTTCCGGCCGGGTCAGAGCAGTCTCCGCAGGCTTTCGAACCCAGCTAACACCGGCCG